TAATACATAAGTGACATTGTGCCACATCGGGAGGCACATGATGTCCATATGTTTCATTATTAGTGATGTTAATTGGTTGTTGTCTGATTAAGGCCAGGTTTTTCCATTGAAAGTCACAATTTTTCCCTTTGTAATTTTAATTTTCTTGTGGGAGATACTTTAAGACTATGTAAATAGCTTGTTTTTCATTGTACATTTTCCCTCTAATTTTAACTTCCATTGATGATTCTTGCTTGAGTCAGTTATTTCTGAGAGGAGTTACAAATGATAACTTTTCTATTTCCATCATTTCTATTTCCATCACTATATTTCTTAATTTGAAATTAATATGTAAGGAAGAGCTGTCCCTTTCCCCTATTTATTTAGTCAGTTATTTATATCACTGTAGACTGAGGATATTTATTTGTGGGTTACAATCCATAACTATCATTTAAAAAAAAATACACACACACACACACACACACACACACACAGTAGAGGCCCGGTGCACGGATTCGTGCACTGTTGGGGTCCCTCAGCCTGGCCTGCAGGAATCAGGCTGAAACCAGCTCTCCAACATCCCCCGAGGGGTCCCAGATTGCCAGAGGGTGGTTCTTGGGTGACGCACCCCAGAATTGGCTTCCTCCTCTCTGGTTCCAGGTGCATCACCTGAGAACTGCAGCTGGCAAGTCACTGCAGCTTGGCAGCTCCTGCGTTAAGTGTCTGCCCCCTGGTAGTCATTGCACATCACAGCTACCAGTTGGTAAGTCGCTAAGACTTTTATATATATACTAGAGGCCCGGCGCGCAAAAATTTGTGCACTCGGGGGGGAGGGGCGTCCCTCAGCCTGGCCTGTGCCCTCTCGCAGTCTGGGACCCCTCGGGAGATAACGACCTGCTGGCTTAGGCCTGCTCCCGGGTGGCAGAGGGCAGGCCCAATCCCTAGGTGCAGCCCCTGGTCGGGCTCAGAGCAGGGCCAATTGGGGAGTTGGGGCGCCGCCCCCTGTCATGCACAGAGCAGGGCGATCTGGAGGTTGTGATGCCACCCTCAGTCACGCTCAGGGTAGGGCTGATTGGGGGGTTGGGGCACCGTCCCCTGTCACACTCAAGGCAGGGTCGATGGGGAGGTTGCGGCGCCACCCCGTCATGCACAGAGCAGGGCCAATCAGGGGGGTTGGGGCTCTGTACCCTGTCACTCACAGAGCAGGGCCCATCAGAGGGGTTGGGGCTCTGTACCCTGTCACGCACAGAGCAGGGCCAATCGGGGTTGGGGCGCTGCGCCCTGTCACGCACAGAGCAGGGCCCATCAGGGGGTTGGGGCGCCGCCACTGTCACACTCAGGGCAGGGCTGATGGGGAGGGTATGGCTCTACCACGTCACACACACAGCAGGGCCTTTGTGTGTGTGTGTGGGGGGGGTTGGTGCGCCGCATCCTGTCACACACAGAGCAGGGCCGATCAGGGGGTTGGGGAGCTCCCCCCCTATCAGGCACAGAGCACGGCTGATCAGGGGGTTGGGGCGCCTTCCCCTGTCACGAACAGAGCAGGGTGGATAGGGAGGTTGTGGCCCCGCCCCCTGTCACACACAGAGCCGCAGGGCGATCAGGGGGTTTGGGTGCTGCCCCCTGTCACACTGATCCCGGTGCTGGGAGCCCTGCGGCTCTGCTGATCCCGGTGTTGGGAGGCCTCGCGGCTCCGCTGATCCCGGTGCTGGGAGGCATATTACCCTTTTACTATATAGGGTAGAGGCCTGGTGCACGGGTGGGTGCTGGCTGGTTTGCCCTGAAGGGTGTCCTGGATCAGGGTGGGGGTCCCCACTGGCCAGCCTGGGTGAGGAGATGATGGTTGTTTGTAGCTGGTCACACATCCTTCAGGGTGGGGGTCCCCTCTGGGGTGCCTGGCCAGCCTGGGTGAGGGGATGATGCCTGTTTGCAGCTGGTCACACACCCTTCAGGGTGGGGGTCCCCAGTGGGGTGCCTGGCCAGTCTGGGTGAGGGGCTGAGGGCTGTTTTCAGGCTGGGGGTGACTGAAGCTCCCAACCGCTCCTTTTTTTCTTTTTTTCTTTATTCTGGGCCAGCTTTAGCTTTGAGGCTTGGCTCCAGTTCTTAGGCCTCCGCTGCTGAAAGTAGGTTTCTGGCCTTTGCTTACAATGTTGCGATTCTGCTGGCTGAAGCCCAGGACTAAAGCAGGTTTCTGGGGTTTTGTTTAGCTTCTATATTTGTTACATAGTTGCTTAGAGTTGCAGCTCAGAGGCCTGCAGCGGCAGGCAGGGAACGTTGGAGTCCTCCGTCACTGAAGCAAACAAGCCTCATGTTAGTTTCAAGCTGCCTGGCTGCCGGCCGCCATCTTGGCTGGCAGTTAATTTGCATATTTCCCTATTAGCCAATGGGAAGGGTAGCGGTCGTACGCCAATTACCATGTTTCTCTTTTATTAAATAGGACTAGAGGCCCATTGCAGAAAGATTCCTGCAAGAATAGGGCTTCCTGCGGCTGGAGTGAAGCAGAGAATGGAGCGAAACCCACCGAGGTGGGCTTTGCTCCCACCTCCACCGCCCCGCTTGCTTCTCTGCAGCTTTGTTCCCTTCTGCAGTGCTTGGCTTCCTTCTACATTGTCTTCAGTCTTTGCTCGGCGCCTGCATATGCAAATTAACCACCATCTTTGTTGGGTTAATTTGCATGCTCATCTGATTGGCTGGTGGGCATAGCGGAGTGACACCAATTTGCATGTTTCTCTTCTATTAGTGTAGATAGATAGATACTTATTGATTACAGAGAGGGAGGGAGAGGGACAGATATAGAAACATCAATGATGAAAGAGAATCATTGATTGGCTGACTCCTGCATGCACCACACTGGGGCTCGAGCCTGCAACCTGGGCATGTGCCCCAACCGGGAATCAAAAGGAGACCTCCTGGTTCATCGGTCAGTGCTCAACCACTGAGTCACACCAGCCAGGCCCCATTACTATCATTTTATATTCAGTTGCTCAGTGTGTGTTTTTTGGCCATTGTGAGTCTCTTAAAGTTGGCTTCTGTGTCCTTTTGACATATCTCATAAATTTTTGAGCACTTGTATACATTCTGGCACTACAATAATAATCCAGATTTATCTTATACTTCCTCTGCCCCAGCTCTGGAATCAGCCATTTCTTTTAAGTGTAGAGTAATATTTAGAAACCAAGATCTGGGTGCTAGAGGTGCTCATTGCTACTGAGATGCTATTTCTTCTAGACTCTCTAAGTGGAGAGAGCTAGGAAATATATGTGTGTGCACACTTTTAGATATTTGTGTGTGTGTGTGTGTGTGTGTGTGTGTGTGTATCACCATCAGTTCATACAAATACCTCTGGTTTCTGTCTGTCACTACGGATTCAAAGCTATCTCACTTTGTCTCTCTCATTACTTGTAACTTCACCAACAGTGAAACCTAGCTCTAGTTACCCACAACATATGTACTTACTTGATTAATTTTAGAATAATGACAAAGCAGTTTCAGAATTTCATCCCTCTGTGAAAAACAAATTCAATAACTAAAGTATAGTATTTGTATAGTTCTTTTGTTTCTCATCTTACAAAGTTAATGTTTTCCAAATTTACTTTTGGCTAATTCCTTTCATTCTGGTTATGTTGATTATTTGTAATACAGTTAGGTTCATTTATTATTGTTTGTATTTCAATTTGGATTTACTGTACAGTAAACCCTCAATTTTGTGGACCTCAATTTAATGGACTCCCCAGAAAGTAAAACATTGGTTATCTGCCAAGGTAGGAGAAGGGATCTTAGGGTTTGTTTTTTATTCAGACTTTGAACCAGTTCTTCATTTTTCCACTCCCCTCATACCCTGATAGGTATTATTGCTTTCAATTCTTAAGCCTTTCTGAGATCCTGTAGCTTGCCTTTTGGCTTCCGCTACTGCTGGCTTAGTTTCTGTTCTTTTGGCCTGCTAAGTCTGTTAATACTCATTCATCTGCTTTCTTCCTTCAAAAATAGTATTACTCTCATCTCCTTTTTCATTTTCTTTGTCGTTGAGTGTTTTTACCTTTTTAAAACCCGTGTTTGTCATCTTAATGGGATTTAGAGAGGGAACTGAGGTAAACATGTGTTTAGTCCCTGCATATTGGGAAATGATTCTTGAAACTTAGTTTATTGTGGGCCGGTATAGCAAACAGGGTCATGTTAGAGTATGCATGACTTTCTTCTCAACTTTCACTGTGGGGAATTCCTAGAATTCCTTGATCATATAGGATTTCATTATGTCTGATAGTCTAGTTCAGCGGTTCTCAACTTGTGAGTCGCGACCCCTTTGGCTGTCAAACGACCCTTTCACAGGGGTTGCCTAAGACCATCCTGCATATCAGATATTTACATTACGATTCATAGCAGTAGCAACATTACAGTTATGAAGTAGCAACGAAAATAATTTTATGGTTGGGTAACAACATGAGGAACTGTAGTTAAAGGGCCAGAAGGTTGAGAACCACTGATCTAGTTGAACTTTATGCACTCTCTTTATTCAATTTTCTAATATATATTCCTGTGAATATATCTTTATGATCTGTATTTATTTAAAGACTTTTTTACTGATTTTTAGAGAGAGGAAGGGAGAGGTAGAGAGAGAGAGCAAAACATTGATGTGAGAGCGGCACATCAATCAACTGCCTCCTGCATGCCCTCTACCTGGGATCAAGCTCACAACCTGGGCATGTGCCATGACCTGGAATCGAACCAGCAACCTTTCAGTGCACAGGATGACACCCAACCAAGCCACACTGGCCAGGGCTTGACCTAAATTTTTTTTATTGATTTTTTCAGAGAGAGGAAAGGAAAGACAGAGAGAATCATCAATTTGTTATTCTACATATTCATGCAGTCATTGGCTGACTTTGTATGTGTCCTGACTAGGGATTGAACCTGCAGCATTGGTGTATCTGGACGATGCTCTAACCAACCGAGCTACCCGGCCAGGGCTTTTTATGACCTAATTTTTAGGGTGGAAATGTAACTTTTCTTTTTCTTCTTTACAGCTACATCCAGATCTCATTATGCATCAGAAAGATGAAAAAACAGAGGAAAATTCTATGGAGAAAAGGAATCCACTTAGCCTTTTCTGAGAAATGGAATACTGGGTTTGGAGGTTTTAAGAAGTTCTACTTTCACCAGCACTTGTGCATTCTGAAAGCAAAGTTGGGAAGGCCAGTTACTTGGAGCAGGCAGTTGAGGCATTTCCAGTGCAGAGAGAAGGCCCTTCAAATCCAGCAAACTTGGATCCAGGATGAACCGCTTTTTGCTAAGACAAAGTCGAATGTGGCTGCTGAAAATGTTAGTACTCTGTCCTCTAAAGTGAAAAGAAACAGCACTAAACACTTAGTTTCCTCCTCAAGGACCCTCCTGAAACTCCAAGCAGAGAATTTGCTGTCAGCAAAGAACTCTGACCATGAGTACCACGGAGAGAAAAATCTCTTGCAGGCAGTTGCTGACTTACCAGCAAATAGTGTTTTAGATCAGGCTATTGGTCACAGACCTAGGACGGAGCTGCAAGCTTCTGACTTTCCCATGAAGTTCAATGGGGAGAGCCAAAGTTCAGGTGAGAGTGGCACAGTTGTGGTCACCTTGAGCAACCATAAGAGAAAGCGCTTTTGTTATGGCTGCTACCGAGGGCTGGAGCACCACAGGAATAGGGGACCTCTGACTCCAAAAAAGTTCCAACTTAACCAACATAGAAGAATAAAAGTATCTCCTCTTATGATGTATGAGAAATTATCCATGATTAGATTTCGGTACAGGATTCTCAGATCCCAGCACTTCAGAACAAAAAGCAAAGTTTGCAAGCTAAAAAAAGCCCAGCAAAGCTGGGTGCAGGTCACTGGGGACCATCAAGAGACCCTTAGGGAGAACGGTGAGGGTGGCAGTTGTAGCCCATTCCCTTCCCCAGAACTTAAAGACCCTTCTTGTCGGCATCAACCACACTTCCCAGGTATGGACAGCAGTGCTGTGATGAAGGAAAAGAACTCTCATGTGCCTGATGGCTGCACTAAAGGAAGCCCTTTCTTGGGCAAGGAGCTTAGTTTAGCTGAAGCATTCCCTGACCAACAGAATGGCAGTGCCACATACACCTGGGACCAGTCACCCTCTTCCCCTCCTAAGTGGGAGTTTCCAGAGCTAATTCATGACATCCCCTTACCAGAGCATCATTCTAGTAATGTGTTTATCTCAGAAACCGAAAGAGAAAATATGACTCTTGGTCAGGAAAATCGGACAAGTACTGTCAATGACAACACAGTAAAATTGTCAGTGTCTGGGGCAGATCAATCTGTAAGTAATGTAGATGGGCCTATGTCCGAAGAGACTGTTCAGAAAGAGAGCTCATACCAGATGGATGAGGATGGATCTCTCAAACAGAACATTCTTAGTTCTAAGTTGCTGGACCACCCTTACTGTAAAAGTCCGCTGGAGGCTCCTCTGATGTGCAGTGGAGTCACACTAGAAAATCAAGTGGGAGATGGGAAGAACAGTCAAAAAGCATCTCCAGTGGATGATGAACAGCTGTCAATCTGCCTTTCTGGTATGCACTCTTCTTTTATTCTCCCTCAACCTCCAGCCCACACTTGCTGTCCATTATCCTTTCTAGGATGGTGTTTTTCCCTTCCACACATGGATTTCCCTTTAAACAATTAGACATTCTTCTCGACATTTGTTTTTTATATTGTTTTATTATGTAGATGTCCCATAGTTTATTTAATTCTTGATTGATGGACACTTGTGGTGCTTACAGTTGTTTTCTTCTATCAACAATGGTGCAGTGAAACTACTTCTTTATAATTATGCAAGTGTTTCTGTAAGTGAAATTCCTAGTAGTAGAATTGATGCTGGAAGAATACATTTAAAATTTTAAGAGAATTGTTAAATTAGCATTCAAAAAGCTGAACCAATTTACACTTGTTAAACTTTGTCAGTCTTATAGATCATGAGAGTTTTCACTTTAATGTTCAGTTTTTATTTATTTTTTATCAAACATTTTTTAATACTATTGAATTTCTTAGGGTGACATTGGTTAATAAAATTATATAGGCTTCAGGGGTACAATTCTGTAATACCCCTGGGTTAGTTACATCATCAGGGGTATATCATCTGTATATTGTATTGTGTGTTTACCACCCCAAGTCATAATTTGCATTTTTTAGTTTAAAGTTTGAACATTTTTGTTGGCCATTTTTTGTTTGTATATAACTTTCCTTTGCCTATTTTTCTATTGGGTTATTTATATTTTATTTATTTAATTACAAGAAGCTCTTATGTACCAGGCAGTGTGATAGTTCTAAGAATGTAGCATTAAGTATTCTGTGAGGGTAGGATACACTGATTCTTACCTTCATAGACCTTATCATCATTCTAGTTTTAAAGATGTTAAATTTTAATTATAAATATTATAAGAGTTTAAATTTTTCTCTCCCAAAAGATGAAAGCCTTGACTTTGTATATGATATTTTTGCTTAACAGAAATTGTCAGTTCTTTCATAGTAAAATATATCTGTCTTTATGGCCTCAAGTTACTGTGTCATGTTTTAAAGCCTAATTGTTAAAATCTACCCACAAAATCAGTTGGCATAAATATTTTTGGAAGACACTATGGTAGTATCAATTTTTGACCCATTCCCCTTATTGCAATTTATCCAAGATCTAAAAGAGTACAAATATATTTGTACGGGCACATTACTTAAGACAACAAATGTTTCTATGGAAGTAAAAGGTATGGCACATCCAAGCAATAGTATACTATGAAGCTGTTAAGGAATAAATTTTATCTGTATTTTGATACTGAAAGCTGTATATAAAGTGAAAAAGCAAGTTGTAAAATGATGCCATTTTGTTAAATGATACATATGCACATATGTAGGATAAGTATATGTATATATGTGTCCACATATGTATAAGATATATCTTGACAGATATATCAAATTTTTATAAATGGCTTTTTCTGGGAAGTTAGGAGAGTTACTTCTTGGTGGTCTGAACACTTTGTTTGCCCAACAATTAAATCTGTATAAAAAGTTCCCAGACACACATGCAGAAAACCTCTTCAAAGTACAGAGTCCTAGCAAATCTTTAAAAAACCTATTTCTGTCATTTATACTGTCTAGAAGAAAGACAAATTTCCCTACCGTGAGGTTAGCAGAACCATGATACACAAATCTAAAATAGTTAATATTTACCCACAAATACCAAATTAATTTATACATATAGATGTAGCACTTCCAAAAACAGTAGATACATTGAATATGGCATATAGTAAAACTGTAGCATGATGTGAGGAAGTAGGAACTTTTATAGAATTTACATTTATTCACATTAGTGATCTGTATTGTAATGCATGAAAAGTATGTTAAAAACACATGTGTCTCTCCATACCCAAAACTAGGAGGAGAGTTTGGTAAGTCAGAAACTGAGAAACTCCCAAAAGGCAGAAAGTGGAGGGAAGGCCCAGAGCATAGCCCAGCAGCAGAAGGAAGATTAGTGTAGGAAAATGATGCAATATCAAGTGAGTCCCATTTCTGGAAGATGGAGGTAGAGAGGAAAGAGGAGACCTATGATAAAAGACTGAGTAGGGGAATCTCAACAAAAGTATCTCTCCCTGCCTGTGCCACATAGCAGCAAGGAGGATATCTGCTATCAAGCTGAAATCCTCGCCCCCTTGACATACGGCATTGATATTCTAACCAGAGATTGATGGGGGGAGAGGACATTTCCCATCCCCCCTGCTCCAATACTGTAACACTTGGCAAGAATGAGGAACAGTCATTTCCAGAAGAACAGTTTTTGGAGTTCTTAGCATCTGCACCACATTGAAAATAGTTCAAGGCAGAGCAACATCTACTGCCCATCATAGCCCTTCCTCCACCCTTCAAGTTACCCAAGTAGACATGAACCCAGAATCTATCATCAAACATCCAAAGAAAGCCAACACAATGAAAGATAGATTTAACAAATAAAAGAACTAAACCTGAGTAATCAGGATTAATAGAGCCATTAGAATAAGACTCAATATAGGATAGTCAGTATAGTAGATGCTCCCTTCACTGACTTCTATAGCATTAGCCAGTTAAATCCCATGGTATGCTGAATGCTGCCTCTTTTCTAAAATAACTGTACATTATGCTCATTGCAGTGGGCTTACATATTTATCAACAGCTGTACTTATTTCAATATACTTACTGCTTCATAATTTTATTCATTAGTTTAAATGAAATATGAGTGTAAAGAGAAAGTTACTCTCTTCAAAACCAAGTTGGATGCTTTGCAATGACAGCTGTGAGTTGCTGAAAAAACTATTACTGAGTTTTGCTTGTACAAGATAACTTTTTAAATGTATGTTTTTATTGATTTTTTTAGAAAGAGGGGGATAAAGATAGAAACATCGATGAGATAGAAACCATGCATACTTTTAAAAGACTTGAGGGAAGATAAGAAAATCTAGGGTTCTGTATTCAGATTAGCTACTGTTTTGGAAGGAAAGAAATAGATTCCTATGTCAACATTCTAGAATAGATGGATTAAAAATTTAATTAAGAACAAGTAAATACATAAAAAACTTGTACACAATGTTCATAGCATCATTATTTATAATAGTCAAGAAGTGGAAACAACCTAAATGTTTATTAACTGATGAATGGATAAATAGAATTTGGTGTATCTACACAGTGAATTATTGCGTCATAAATAGAAACGGAATACTGATATACAGTATGTTTCAGTGTGGATGAACCTTGAAAATGTGCTAAGTGAAAGATGCCAAACAAAAAGGCCACATACTGTAGGATTCTATTGATTTGGCATGTCCACAATAGGCAAATATGTGGAGATAAAAAGTAGATTAATGTTTGCCAGGGGCTAGGGAGAGAAGAATGAGGAGTGACTACTAACAAGTTTCTCTGTGGGGTAATGCAAATGTTCTGGAATTAAGTGATAATGGTTGCACAAGTCTGAATATATAAAATCATTGAATTGTTCACTTTAAGAGGTTGAATTTTGTGGTGTGTGAATCATAGTTCAATAAAACTTAAAAAATAAGTACAAAAGACCATTTTAATAATCAAGCATCATGGGAAACTCAAGCAATAAAAATATATCAATCTAACTTCATAAACATTAAAAACTTGTATATGTATATAACAAAACTCTTAAGTGAAAAGTTAAAGTTTTAGACATGCAGTTGTCCTTTTTTTTTTTTTTTTAAATATATTTTATTGAGTTTTTACAGAGAGGAAGGGAGAGAGACAGAGAGTCAGAAACATCGATGAGAGAGAAACATCGACCAGCTGCCTCCTGTACACTCCCCACTGGGGATGTGCCCGCAACCAAGGTACATGCCCCTTGACCGGAATCGAACCTGGGACCTTTCAGTCCGCAGGCCGACGCTCCATCCACAGAGCCAAACCGGTTTCGGCTGCAGTTGTCCTTTGATCCAGAAATTTGACTGTTCTGGCAACCAATAGAACAATGGTATGTCAAAGGTTTTAATTACTTAGAGAACTAAAAATTAACTTAAATGGACATCAGTAGGGAATTGGTTAAAATCTGGCATACCCATGTAATGGACTACTAGGTTGTTTTGAATTTACTTAGGAAAAAACATGTATTGAAGGAAAAAAAGGAGATTCAAGAAGAGTAAATAGTCCTAACCGGTTTGGCTCAGTGGAGAGCATTGGCCTGTGAACTGAAAGGTCCCAGGTTCGATTCCGATCAAGGCATGTACCTGGGTTGTGGGCACATCCCCAGTAGGAGGTGTGCAGGAGCCAGCTGATCAATGTTTCTCTCTCACTGATGTTTCTAACTCTCTATCCCTCTCCCTTCTCCTCTGTAAAATATCAATAAAAAAATATTTTAAAAAAGAAGAGTAAATATAGTGTACTATTTGCATGTTTAAGAAAAACATGTTCATAAGGGTGTAAAGTTCTAAAGTAATTACAGTGTAATTGCCACTTTATTTTAAAATGTTTATGGTCATATGTTAGAAAAAAAACCTTAAAATTGAAGCTTTTTCCTGTTTCAATACTATAAAAATATTCGTTCCTACTTTCTTCTAGATTATTAATGTGTTATTTTTACATTTAGCCATTTGGAAAAAAGATGGATCCCTACCTCATTCTTTTTTTTTTTTTTTTTTTTTTAAATATATTTTATTGATTTTTTACAGAGAGGAAGGGAGAGAGATAGAGAGTTAGAAACATCGATGAGAGAGAAACATCAATCAGCTGCCTCCTGCACATCCCCCACTGGGGAAGTGCCTGCAACCCAGGTACATGCCCTTGACCGGAATCGAACCTGGGACCTTTCAGTCCGCAGGCCGACGCTCTATCCGCTGAGCCAAACCGGCTTTGGCTCATTCTTTTTTTTTTTAAATATATTTTATTGATTCTTTACAGAGAGGAAGGGAGAGGGATAGAGAGTTAGAAACATCGATGAGAGAGAAACATCCATCAGCTGCCTCCTGCACACTCCCCGCTGGGTATATGCCTGCAACCAAGGTACATGCCCTTGACCGGAATCGAACCTGGGACCCCTGAG